ATTTATGGACGAGCCAATCAAAGGCGTTTTAGAGATTTCGAGGTTACGGCGCCAACTTCAGTGCTTAATGCTAACGTACGTTCGGTTCACAGGGAATTTTGTACAAAACATGATAACTGAGCGGCTATAACAAAGAAAACGGCGAGACTATAATTTGTGGACGAATCAATCAGGTATAAGATAATAGATCTTGGATTTTAACGCGAAAGCCTTTCATCCATTTGGCTAAATAAATCTCTGGCATTATAGCTTATGTCAGTTCGTGATGAAAAACCCATATATAATCCGTAATTAAGGCAAATTACGAACTGCACAATAAAAGCACCAGTAACATTGGCTGCAGCCAAGTACTAGAATATATACTGATGTTTGGAGAGTGTGCAGACACCTACATAGGCTTGGTTATGTGCATCGTGTCGTTATCCGAAAGTAGCATTTTGTGCACTCAACAACCGGAGTGCACATAAACAACATTGAAGCTATGTGGTCGAGGCTGAAAGAGTTTTTGAGACTTTATCATGGCTCCAGAGGCCGACTATTCTGTAGGCGTATGGATGATTTGCTTTACTACATGCATTACGATTTTAGAACCTCTGAACCTCTTTCAAACCTTGACGAGTTTATGAACCACGTATAAGAAGTGTATCCACTTTATTTCCATGGTTTTGTATAATATATTTTTACTCTATACTGACTGTTTGCTGATTGGCTAGTGTTTCTCAAGGCCACTTAAAATTCCTTCAAAGATCGTCCATAAATTAGAGTCTCTTCGAACTCATCATTTAAGGATCGTTCTTCAATGATGACCAAATTTGTTTCACTCATTCCATAGTCTATGATCACTTATATTTCAATTGCTTATTAGGTATTGTTTACTGTTTGATAGTAGGAAAGACTTATATTCTAACAGTTGAATTTACGAGTTGATCTAAACTAGACCACCATTGAAAACCTGGAAGGACTTGATGGCCGTTTTGTCATAGTATGGGACTCTCCAATAGGGCGCATCAACGATCTTGCATGTGAGACTCCAAACCAGGACATTCGGTCTCACTTGCGAACGCTCAACCATTAGAATACTGAGCTGGCATTCAATGGTGTTTATGCCTAACTCCAATAGGTCCATGATCTTGCGTAACCCTTCATCCATTGTCCAAGATGAACAACTGTCTCTACTCGACACGGATTAGACTCCACTGATCACAACTTCTCGCTAGAACTCCAGGAAATTGATCTTAAAGCTAGTTAATAGTGAGCACATGATTATTATCAGAATGAGGATTTATGGAGGGTTAGGAGTAGCGGTCAGGGGTAGGATTTAGAATTACGGTTAGGGGTTAGGGGTTAGAGTTAGGGTTTAGAGTGAGGGTGAGAATTGGGGTTTAGGGTTAAATTTAGGGATTAAGGTTTAGCTTAGCCTAACTCATGAATTCAACTGTTAAAATACTACAATCTCTACAAATTTCTATACAAACTTATATTCATTTAATTCACTTTGAGATAAGTAAGACATCATTCTAGTTAATACATTTTGATTGACAATATAATTTGATTGAAGTAATTGAACTAATCGGAATGATTAATTCTCATACTATTTGAAATGAGTATATGTTACCAATTCAAGATTTATCGGTCAATAGTGAAACAATGGAACCATATCTATATATCTTAGTTACTTTAAAGAATGATGGACAGTTTATAGTAACCTGTTATTGTTGACAGTTTCCTGTCATAGACAAATAAACTGTTATGTAAGCATTTGAAAGAAATTTCTTCCAGTCAATCAACAATCAATCAATTAATCTATCTATCTATCTACTTATAGATACCTATATTAGTCAATCAGTTTGAATGACATTTCAACGATGTAAGTATTATACATGTGAATTCAAGTACATTAAACAATATAATACACATTCTAATGAACGAAATAAATATTCAAACATATGTCATAATACTTCTTTACTTACTTACTTACTTACTTACACCTGTTACTCCTCGTGGAGGAACATAGGCCACGTACTATCACTCTCCATCCAACCCTAACCTAGGCAATCCTTTCCATTTCTTTCAGGTTATTATTTATCTTCTTCATGTCTACTTTCGATTCCCGATATTCTTTGGCCTTCCTCTTTTCCGCTTCCCTTCCGGATTCCAAGTTAGGGCTTATCTCGTGATGAAGTTTGATGATTTCTGTAATGTACGTCCTATTCACTTACAACGATTTTTCCTAATTTCCTTCTCAGTTGAAAGTTGGTTTGTTCTCTTCCAGAGAAGGCTGTTGCTGATAGTATCCGACCAATGGATGTTGAGTATCTTGTGTAGACAACTATTTATAAATACTTGTATCTTCTTGATGATGGTTGTGTTAGTTCTCTGAGTTTCAGCTCCGTACAGGAGAACTGTCTTGACGTTTGTATTGAAGATTTTGATTTTGATATTGGTTGAAAGTTGTTTTGAGTTTCATATGTTCTTCAATTATAGGAATGAGGCTCTTGCTTTGTCAATCCTCGCATTTACGTCTGCATCAGATCCTCTTTGTTTATTCATTATGCTATCCAGATACGTGAAACTTTCCACCTCTTCCATAGTTTCTCCATCAAGTGTTATTGGGTTGGTGTTCTCGGTGTTGTATTTGAGGATCTTGGTTTTTCCTTTGTGTATGTTGTGGCCTACTGATGCAGAAACTGCTGTTACACTAGTTGTCTTCATCTGCATTTGTTCGTGTGTATGTGGTAGGAGGGCTAGGTCAACTGCGAATTCTGGATCGTCTAATTGGTTCTGAGCTGTCCATCGCATTCCGTGTTTTCCTTCAGATATCGGGGTCTTCATATTCCTTTGGTACACTATAATTAATCATTGACCAGATAGCAACTATAATGTTGATTGTAAGCAAAGATGAATTGTGACTAACAATCGAATCCGGGATGAACATTTTGTTCTAATTGAGGCTCGTCAATTAGATGTACCTACATTTTAGAGTTGATGTTCATTCATATTACTGTTTAGCTTTTCTTAAAACATTTTTGCAGTTAACTAATATTTTTTAATTGTAAGAGTATTGTATTTTGTTGTTAGCAATTCTGAAGACTGGTATAGTTCATAAATTTGTATTGATGTAGATATATGGACTCTCTGTGTCCACCAACCCGGTTAAAGCGCCGAACATTCGCTTTTCGTTTTCTCACTCTGGTGAACAACACCCTCACCTCCAGAAGGCAGTGAGTAGGACTTCCCTGGTAGTGGTTGTATTCACGTGGCCATGTGAGAGCATTTAGAGATAGGGAGTTGACTCTCTCCTCTCTCGGCCATACCAGTGCATTTGGGGGCATAATGCCCAGGTGAGAGGTTGCTCTGTTGATGCAAACGACTGACTTTCAGCTAGTCAATAAATAGAGATTTTTTTGGTATTTTCAAAAAAGAACGATAACATTCTGTCTCTGATTTAGTATGTAGTAGTTTAAAACCCCCAACATAGTTCAATTCAAATCGGTTATAATCAGTGAGTTACAGTTTCATTACCGACTTAATTGACTCTACACATTCTGACCAAGTGATTAAACAGTATTATACTGACCAAGTTCAGTATACTAAGGGTTTTTATGTATATTCAACAGGATTTAGACCCAACCCAGTGATACGAATGAATACAAATCTTGGATTTCACTGCTAATTACTATCCAACTAACACTACCTTGTAGTAATTCATCCAAGAGACTTAAACATCAATGTTCATTGAATATTATAGTTGTGTAAATAGTTGTTATTATCGAATGAGTGAATAAGTCTAGACATATCAATTGCTTGTATAATAAACCAAACAGTTCATATATAGTCTCGAAACTAAATCCCTAGATTGAGTAATTATGGACGAGACACATTGTAGTGGACTGTACAATTACTCATGATCTCAGCTTACATGTCGTTATGTTCGTCAGAAAGATCATTCTATGTATATATTATATACCTATGATATCATTCGGTTTGCCAATTAAAGCTTCCTAGTCATTTCTCCGTTTTGTTACTGTCATTGGTGGTCGAACAAGTGTATAGGAAATGTGTATGTATGGATTCAATATTATTGTAATCAACAAGAACACAGGTGTCGACAACCGAATGTATTCGGTCACGAAATTACAGAACATCTGAGAACCATACAGTAAATACTAAATTTGCAAAATATCAGTTCATTGTCTCATATTTCATTGTTCGTGCATTTTCATACCGGTTGTTTTCCGATCCTGTTCTTTTCCTCTCGATGTTCTACTGAAATACATTATATTCCTGACTATCGTTATATACTACTTATGTGGATATAAGTAGCTCACACCACACTAGTCCCCCTTTAAAGCAGTCATTCTTGCGGTGGTTCTGCTCACCGTGCCACTTTCATTTTTTCTGAAGTGTGTGAAACGCTCTCCGTCAAAATGTCAAGTCTTCAGCGCCCTTACCTCCATAGCACTGTCGACCTGCCGGGGCACTAACATCCAATATCACCTGGGACGTTTAACGCCTGCGCTCCAGCGACCTGCTGAGCCATCTTCATCCGTTGTCCGCCCAGCAGCCGCAGGTCCCATTGCTACTCTCCGTCGGCAGCACCTGGCACAACCAAAGCCACCTCGCCAAAACACTCCACTCGATGTCACCTCTCCGCACCATACCGCCTCAACTGACACTTCAACTCCAGGCCCGCAACGGCGTCCACAAGACAGCATTCTCCCCACCTCCTGGTTGGGAGCGATACCAAATGGATTTAATATTATAGCTTGTAATAGTATTTAAGTAAAGTCAAGTTCAAGTCTCATTTGAAGTATTAACACTAAGATCTAGTCATATTTAAGTATCTAATTTCAAATAAGACATTATATCAGTATCAAGGTGAGCATGTGATAATAATACATAATTAAACCTAGAATTTTTCAACTATAAACCTTAGAACAATCATCTATCTTACATTTGTTGCTGTTGTTATCGTTTCTGCACTTATTATTCTTCATTAGGTATTGTCTCTGTGGACGGTTCATTAATATCACAGGAGATAATTCTTGGAGCTGATCGAACTTATCAAAATACTTTCAAAGGTGTAATTGGTGGTAAGTTAATTAGAAGATGAATTTTTTCTCTCCTTGATTTACCATTCTATATCAAGTATAATGTAAATAGTTAACATTAACATCTTGATACAATGCTATATTAAGTCATAAAAGCAGGTGGTTTTCTTAAGACGCCACTTCCCAACCCTTTGATCAGAGGTCTAATCCACAAGGTAGTGAAGAAAAGTTGGGAAATGCGGATCCATAGTAGTTGGTGATCAAGAATGAGTCTATACACTATTCATTGTTTAAGGGTCTCAAAGTTCATGTGAAGTGTTGATTTGGAATCAGGGTTTTCCAACTCCCCTGAGGGTGAATCCTCCGTACCCACAAATCCGTATTAATCTCCGAATATTCGGTTTTCGTTTTCTGAATTTTGTAAAATAACGCTTCTGCCTCAGTGAATATAAGTTCTATGATAGTGGATATTTACGCGTGGACATATAAGAGGATTTGGATATGGAAAATGAACTCTTTTCATCCTTGGCCGTACAAAAGTACTTGAGGGCTGAAACAAATTGAATCAATAGTATTTCTTAGCACTTTCAACCTAGAATTAATATAAACTAAGATATTAGAAAGCAATTCTGTGTAGATGAAGTCATCGTGATGTATCATAACTGATGACATAATGTTCTGTGTGCCTAACCCTGATTCTACTTATTCTATTATTTTATCTAGTTAGTAGTTTTTTAAAAGTCATTCATGATTACAAATTCATTACACTTCTGCCTTGTATAATTAACAGTTCACCTATCATGATCACATTGTAGAACAGATCTAATTATTGCGAAAAGTTGATCCCATATTCATTTAGATAGACTTATGATTATTGAGATAATGTACCGATCAATGTTAAACTAAATGACCGTTTCAACTTAGCATGGAATTCTCCAACAGTGAATATCCACGATCCCATACGTGTGATTTGAACTCAGAGCCTACAGTCTCGTTCTTGAACCCTTAACCTCTAGATCACTGAGCCGGTAAACAATAATTAAATAAGGAAATATTTTAAAAGTGATTAGGTTTTCTTACCTTGGAGATAAAAAAACTACCGATCAATAAATAACTATTTCACTGTATTTGTAATGAACGAGAACTTGGTAGAGGGAAACCAATTTATTGCTTGGAGCAAAATTACAGAATGCATTCCTTCAGTTGTCCTTTACATAATCCTGTTATTATTTCTCTCTATTTCTTTTCCTGTTCTCTTCAAATTAATCTTTTGCTGTCAAGGTATTTCACTTTCGATTGCTACTACATACTACTTATATTTGTCAACATAAGCATATTTTGGTAAAATACTACACTACACAATATTCACTAACACAGTGATACATTAGACTGAACTTCAGAAGATTTAGTTTCTTTAAAAAAGAAATCTAGAACATTTTATGTATATGTTAGTTTATGATGATTTATTACTGATAGTAATTTATAGACGAACCAATCAGATTAAAGACAGCAGATTTTGGCGCGAAATTCATTCATTCATTTAGCTAAGTAGCATTTTAGCACTTGGTCGATAGCATTAGATCTGCACTAAGAAGGACTTGACACACATGACATTGATCACCACCCACTGATCAACCACTTGTGGTTACATCTCAGTCCTACAGGAGGTTAGTCACGGCTCGGATAGCCCAGTAGTAAAGTCTCTGATTGTGAAGCTGGGTGATACGGAATCGAATCCGTCAGGGAACACCAGTTCCCTCAAGATTACAGGTACACCTTGCTGACGAGTGCCAAATAGCACGAAACCCGAGTCCAGGGATTCCTGTCGACTACCTCCAACCACCATCTTATCTCAACACAGTAGAGTCACTTAGACTAATGGCCACATTACAACTTGGCCGATAGCCTTCGATCTGCACTAAGAAGGACTTGACACACATGAAATTGATCACCATCCAGTGAATAATCAATTGTGATAGCGTTTTGGCACTTTAGATGATGTTAGTTCGTAATGAAAACCCCAAATCTAATTCCTGACCCTAACTGTCAATTGTAAATCATAATCCTTATTCCTCAGATTGATTTACAACATGCACTTAATCCTAGGAAGGAAAAGGATATTCTGAAGGTCACTTGAGCGTCACACAAGGGTAGTCCATAAATTGCAGTCTCACCTACAATTTTTTTGAATTTCAATGACTGAAATTATCAGTAATGAATGTCAACAAAACATTTGATAGTTTGATAACAGAACGATCATTGGAATCCTTCTTAAAGTCTTATTATTTTGATCCAGTTCACAAAAATTGAATTGAAAAATGAGGATTCATTTGTGAATTTACAAAATGTATCAAACAGTTCCTGATTTTCATTGGATATTCATCTCAATTCAAATCAATCTCTTTTCTATGACCTGCTATCATTATTATTACCATTACTATTACTATTATTATTATTATTATTATTATTATTATTACGATTACTGGTGTTATAATTACCATTTATCGATTAGTGTCGATATTTGGATTAGATATATTTGACATTATCATTATCCTATGAATAAGGTAATAGATATATGTAAACCTTATCGATTTATTTAAGTACGCACGCTCTCTCTCTACCTCACTGCCTCCCTCACTCACTCACTCTCTCCTCTCCCTCTTTCCCTCTCTCTTTGTGTACCTTTCATTCTTATATTGAAATAGTGAAAAATGGAACTATGATAAACAAAAAGAATGTACAAAATGTACAATAGTTATTTCAATGAATCAATTACATTGAATTTCTATTCAGTAAATTTTTAATAAGAGTTAAGAAAAACAAACAAGCTGCTAGTACTAGTTAATGTATCATTAGTTTGGTACAGTTTTAATTTACGGCTGTGAAACATGGCCATTAAGAGTAGAAGATACTCGTTAGTTACTAGTATTTGACCACAGATGCCTTAGAAATATTGCTGGCGTCTGTTGGGATCACCGGGTAAGTAATGGTGAGTTTGGACGTAGGGTATTAGGGAATGATGATGGTCAATCAGTTGATGAGGTTGTGAATCTTCATCGACTGAGATGGTTGGGTCACGTGTTACGTACGGCTGAACACCGATTACCACGACGTGCAATGCTAACCGACGTTGGAGATGGTTGGAAGAAAGTTAGGGGTGGCCAAACCAAAATGTGGTATTGGTCCACAAAGTCACTAACTTCTAGTCTGAGCCATGTTGATAGATGCAGACCACTTGATTGGGGTCCGTGTGACTATCGTAATCAATGTTTGGATACTATGTGTGACATGGCTCAGAATCGATCACAATAGCGTCGGTGTATACACTCTCTTTCTTCTCTTAAACTAAGAGATTAAAATCGCCTCATATCTTTCTTTCTACCAACTAATTCTTTCTTCCTGTCCTGTATCCTTATTGCAAACTTTCTTTTATATATTATCACCTCTGAATTAACTACTTTTATGAATCCGGTGTCCATCTTGTTGTGTTAATGAGGTATGGCAAGTTGGACCGATGCATATATATTCCTGGTCCTACGTTGTACCTGAATGACTAGCTGAGACTGTTTCTAACAGATTGAGAATAAATTCAGAATAGGGTTAGGGCTTAGAGTCGTGTAACAGCCGCCAGTAGGTCAAATAGAAGTTTATGATAAAAGGAATATGAGTATATATAATCTACTTATAATAAGAATATGTTTAATAATAGTTTATAAATAGTTCCCGGAAGTTACACATAATTGAATCTTCTTCGGATACGACATCTCCTCTTAGTTGAAAACCAAAAGGATTTATTCTTATTCGAATAGATTTTCGTCAGATGACCTGCGACCGTCTTGGAGATGTTGTACAATTTCTCCTATTACTTGAGTTCTTTCCATTTTTATTATCATCTAATGCAGTTAATATGTTTAATGGTATATCGGGCTGTAGATTACTTCCAGTCTCCCATTCTTGTCTAATCTGCTGTAGTTGGTTTGCATATTCCACCCATATCTTTTCTCCCACTTTTACTTCATAAATACTTTTTCCTTTTCTGAGGATTATAATTCCGATCTTCCAAGTGGACTTCACTCGGTGGAAATCTCTTGAAACTACCATCTGCCCCACACTGAATTCTCTAGACAATTCACTACATACTTTATTGAATTGTCGTTCCATTCGTTTGTTCTTTCAGAGGCTGATTTTAGGTCTTGGTTTGATATCTCCCATTGACATTCTAATTTTTCTTCGAAATATCTCTTTTGCTGAGCTGTTTTGATTAATGATTGAAATCATGAGTCAGTTGAAGTTAGACCACCACGGAAAACCTGGTAGCACTAGATGGCCACTTTATGTTTGTATGGGACTCCTCAGTGGCTTTGCGTATCCATGATCCTGCCTCGCGAGATTCCAACCTAGGGCGTATCTTCCTCTCTCGCGAATGCTTAACCTCTATACAATTGAGTCGATATCTAACGGTGTTAATGTCTAACTTCAACCGATCCACAATACATTCATGTATAGATATTTCTGATAAATCTCCCCTATAGGAACACATGTACGTACACAAATATGCATATGTGGATAAATCATTCTTCCAGTCTTTCTCTCTCTAAAAATTGTTTTCATAGCGTCATAAACTAGTTCTGTCTTTTTAATTACTTCTCGTTCTATCAATTTGATCTGATGAATCATTTCAATCGTGTGTGTGTGTGTATGTGTTTGCAAGAGGGTGAGGTGGAGGATGGTGATTGCAGTACTACTATGTATCTTACGTAACAATTACTGTTACCACTATAACTATCTATAATCATCATAACAAAATGTTCCCCTCCTGTCAAGAAATATGTTGGCATAAATAAAACATAACGGTAGAAAACGATAAAAAGATGTAAAAAAAAATAACAAGTTATACATTGTTATCAAAATGATAAAAGATATGAACTGTAAAGAAAACTATCATCATCATCCATTATTATCAATGGAAAGTGTTGCTCTCTCTTGAAGAGAAAGAGAGATAAGGAGAGAGCAAGAGAGAAGGTATAACGCTATAAATCTGTCTAAATTTGCCAAACTGATGATCATATTAACTGGTAACATTTATCATTCATTCATTCATTCCTTTGATAATGGTATTAGTAGTGATAGGCTCTTTATTTGTTTTTCATTAATTTAATCATAAACAATATTCAATTACATGTGCACAGAAAACAACACCACTACCACCACATAGTTTCTCATTTCTTGCTTGTATGAGGTAAATTTATGATATTTGGATATGATTACGTAAACGTATGTAAATGTATAGGGAAGCTTGTAGTTTACAGTATACAATACACTATGACTGTGTATATTGTTATAGAAACTATTGTATTCTATATATATAAACAGTTCTGTTAGAAACCCAACAACCTATTCACACTTGTTCTATATTTGATAGTGTACTAGTTTGAAGAAGTTACTTCAAATTGAATTGATACAAATCAACATTTACTGGGATTAATTAGATGTGAATAAATGATCATGATGATTGGTCAATATTTCAATGATTATGATTGGCTAGTTTTATTGTAACTAATAGGGTGTATTGTAGACGATACTTTCTTTTAATTTTATGGATTCAAAATCGAACTCAAAACTGTTGCTATGTGATACTGCTTTTAATTAATTTGAGTGGTTGGTGGTGATCGAACTCATTCATCATTCTGTTCTATGTGGATTATTCGGAGTTCACACTTCGAGGCTTGAAAAAGCGTTACGGGCTGCTTGATGTGTATAGTTTTGTAATATGAATTGTAAGAGACTCGCTTGTGTAGTTGTATATGTAGGTATATACGAAGAGTACGCTTAAGGCTCACAAAAGAAACGTAATCTCAGAAGGTATCTACCCTATGCCTAGTCATGTCAGCGACATAAACCATTAGGTCGAACGCACAATAAAAAGATATAGTAGCCAATACCATAGAGAGATAACCATCAAACCTTCCTAAAAGCGTGATTCTGCTTGTGTGTGTGTGCGTTATAAAGTGCATGGACGAAAGTTTTTGCACTAGTGGTATACATGCAATGCGTAAGAGACAGTCAGTTGTAGCATATACGTTCGAACGGAGCGCTAAGAATGGATATGCCTATATGTATGCCATGAGATGCATGGGTGAAAACTTATTTGTTACTGGTATACATGTAACGTATAATTTCCCCTGATGCGACGCTCGCGCGCCAAGCATCGGGGGTTTGTGAACTTTTAAAGCGGAAACCATTTCCAGAAAAGCCAATCGGCTTCATCAGGTAAAGTGTGATCAACTTTAATACAGATGGAACACCACAGCGTACTTTTATGGGTAGGGTAGTTAGGATTGGCTTATCGAAAATGCTGAAATGTATCAATTCATTCCCCAACGATGGAAAACCTTTCGGGATCTGACTGATGAACAATTTAAAAAACTCATTGGTATTTCTCAGTTTCACTGTTCGTGGTCATTGTGTTATTGGTTCAATAGATGGTCATTAGCTAACTTTATAATTAATGCAGTTGATCGTACCGGCAATATTAAGAAGCTCCGCTAATATGTAACAAAACTCACTCTTATTTCAATGTATTCTCATTGAATCGAAATTATATTTGCGTATATACATAAATGTGTATAGACCAATATATGTCACGTCCCTCTACCCATTATTATTCTTATTTTCCATTTAAAATACAGCTTTCTACTGGAACGGACAATATTTAATTAACCAAGTTGGTTCACTTGTCTCCAATACTAAAGTCATGGTGGCCCCAGGTAGAAATGTTGCTAAAAATATGGATGAAATAGTTGTGGTGCTTATGCCCGAATTATTAAAACCAATTAAACCAAGCATTCCTGATGATAAACCATTACCGGAAGTTCTACCAGATGGTATAATAGCAGGTGGTGTTGTTATGCCTGGTTTAGGTAGTAGAAATGAAGATCATGGAGGTATAATTCATATATCTGGTAAGTGATGTTTTTATTTCTTGTTTGATAAATGAAAACCGTCTTTATTTATTGATTATTAACGTCAAAAATTGATTTCACGATAAATCATCACAGTTGTTTTGTCTTAATATGAGACACCTCAATAGTACATATCAACAACCCCTCAACGAATTAAAGTAAACGATTTACATCTAGACCATCAAATCATCATCCATTGAATTCACCTACGATATCATCGATTGTCTTCTTCTTCTTCTTGGCATTCCAATGAAAACAAATTACCACTTAGAACATTTAATACATTATTAAGAAATTTATTAATTGAATTCAGGAGTCAAGTGAAGTTAGATCACCATGGAAAACCTAGAAGCACTGAACGATTGTTTCATCCTAGTATGGGACTCCTAAAAGGCAGTGCGCATTCACGATCCTGCCCAGCGAAATGCCGGCTCAGTAGTCTAAATATTAAGCGTTCGTGCTTGAGAACGATAGATCCTGGGTCTGAGTCTCGCGAGGTGGGATCATGGATGCACATCGCCACTGAAGAGTCCCACAGTTGGACAAAACGACCGTCCATGATGATCTAACTTCAATTGACTCATGAATTCAAGGAATAAAATGACTAAAATCTTCACAAAACCCTTCTCATATTATTAAGAAATGATTAGATTAGATGAAAACAATTAGTAATTTGATTAACTCATTACATATTTTCTGCATGAAATTACACTAGTTGTATGTAATCATGTGAAATACCGAAGTCAGTATGTGGTAGTTATTATTTCAATGAAATAATTAATTGAATTATCAAATATTTCTTATTCATTAGAACACCATGGTGTGAGATGTTCATATAAACAGTTGACAATTAACGGCTTAACGACTATCTATATATTTAGTGAGTAATTGAATATAGAAGCTTATTAAATATCTAATGATGTTAGTTTGTAAACACCTACTACTTGTATTTTTATACCGGTTTTTATATTGATTGATTAATTGAGCAATGATAAATATCATATCTATTGAGTTGATCTTGGTATTTGATAGAAATCTGGTATTGATTCAGAGAGTTTGATTGACTATGGTCAACTTGGATCATTTATGGAATACGTGAGATATTTATCTGCCAACTAAAGAAATACATGTAGGGTACTAGTATACTATCATTGGTGTATTTTAGGAGTAAGCAATACCTGAGGTAGTAAGTCTTCATCAATTAAGGTAGTTTAGACATATGTTACGTATGCTGAACCAGCGTCTACGTTGATGGGAAATGTTTTCTGGTGTATGGATAGGCTGGAAGGGAGCTAGGGGGCAGCCAAACCAAAGCATGAGATCATCAGTCCATAACGTCACTGACTATTGAATTGAGCCATGTTATTAAGTGAAGATTATCTGATTGTTTCTGCGTGATGATTGTAAACAATGGTTAGAAACTTTGAATGACATGGCTCAAAGCCGTTTGGAATGTCGCAGGTGCATCTGCTTTTCGTCCTCCCCCTCAAATTCTGACCTTCTGAATTCCTCATAACTTTTCTATTTTTACTTCACTAATTTATATTTCCTTCTCGACGTGTGCCTTTGATGTCTAATCATTTCTATCACCATTGTTACTATTGCTACTTGTATCATTCTGGAATTTGACGTGACGATTTCATCTCTCTGTGCTAATGAGATAGGGCAACATAAACTGATGCACATACGTAAAAGGTTCTATATTGCGACTGATTGAATGACTGACTTAGTGTTGATGGAGTTCTATCGAACAAGTTTGTAATGTGTTCACTGGTCTAAATGATTTAATACTGTGTACACTATATTTTATTATTAAACGATTCGAGGTATTCGGTATGAAACTCTATGGTGTCTTAAATTTCGTGTTAGTTGGCACTTGTCAGTGAGGCGTATCGATCCACAATTAGTCAATGTAAACGAATCAAATCATTCTAATGTTATATAATGATAACATAGCTTCAAGAATCCCAAAGAAAGCAAACTTATCAAAATGATGATGGTTGGAAACTGAACCAAATGTTGCATTGTAATCGAGTACAAATTAGATACCTATCTTTAGACTATTGGCTCAATTCAATACCAACTGACTTAAAAGTTACATATCATTACATCAATTAGGTTGTAGCGTGGGGTTGAGTTGTTGTTGACTGTGATCACCACTACAAGAAGGTTCCGTACCAGATATCAGAAGGCAGTTGATGGCTGTAGTCGAGATGTATTTGTTGACGATCTCGTGGTATCGAGAGGATACCGAGATCGTGCCAGGTTACAAGTGTGGTTACTGAGCGTAACGGAATTCGTGTAAGGTCACAATCAACGGAAGAATGTATGACTTTATTACGGTTAAACAAACGAGTACAGTAAAACAACCAGTGGTACAATTGGTTATAATAATAATTGTTTCCATTAAACCAATCACGTTCTCTTGATAAAAGTAGGTCACTACAAGGTTATCGTCAATAGTCGCTAGGACACGTTGGGTCTATGGTTTGTGTCAACTATCACTTATCAACAAAGAGTACTTACAATCTGGAAATAACTGATATACCCTGGTGGACTCTAACTCTTATCATCCTCTATCATAATATGAGTAGTTGCCAGTAAGCTATTCAAGCCAAAAACTAACCTAAAAAAGGTAAAGATATTCACAATATTTAATCACTGTGTGATAACCAGTGATATATTCATCTAATCTTTGAGTTTGATAGAATTCTATTGACGAAGTTACAATATGAAAACCAATCTGTAAGACTTGATATCTCATTCACTATTTTTGTCTTTCCAAGTAGCTGGAGGTAGTGGGGGGTGTATCATAACGATCAGTGCTTTAGTAGATAATGTTAGTTTTGATTATTTTAAAAGGTTTGTACTGTATTCCATTATGCGATATACAGTTCCTACGGTGTATCAAACTCATTACACAAATCAGAAGCATGTAAAGAGTTGTCTGTTTAATACAGGTTATGAAACTTGGGTTAAGACATTGACTAGGTGTCAGACTGATTACCTTCGATTGTGGTTCTCACACATAATTTCTGGCCTACCTTTTAACTTTGAGAAAGTTTGTATGTGTAGACCTGTTGCGCCTTTGTAACAAATCAATTTATATGTTTATAGAGTTAGAAAAACACTTGATTGAACAAGCCAACGGCTATTTGGATTCAATAGCTAAGTAGATAACATAATCGTGTTTGAGACGAACGCCTTTGAGTTCGAGTTCCAAGTAGGACGAAACATGCTCTCTGGATTCAACTGCTAGCCACTATCCATTTCTGTTGAAAAGGCTTATGACTGATGTCTTATGTCAAAGAGACTGGTCGATCGCAATCCCAAAGACAAAAACGGAGATGGAAAGTGACTTGAATGATAAAAACGTATGAAAGGAACTATTAATTGAAGTAGATCAAAGTGTTCAACTTCAGATAATATTTTGAAAACATGGCAATTTTAGTCTAGTAAACGACCCAGCACTTCGTATATTTTAGATAATAAAAATGTTATATGAGTTTTGAGACATTTACAGTTGACTCTATGAACTGAACACGGTTAGACAAGCAGTGTAAACTATGAGGTACTGGACACTGGTTTCTTCCTTTTTAGGACTGTTCAACAGTGAGCATAAATGACTCCAAACGGAAATCTAACCCAAAACATTCAATAATCATGGTAAGAGGTTAACTTTGACACCACTAATTCGTAATAATCGTCTACTTTAGAATAATTGTCGACAAAATTCACTTACTTGTATACCACAGTGGACCTATTCTTGACCATATTTAAGTGTTGTTGTCGTAAGGATTCAACAAATTGTAGGTTTCCCTGTATGGTAAACACAAAGAAACATCTTGAACTGATAACATTCATTTTTGTTCAACTCTGTCTATGATCAACTTTAAATCATGTTGTATAATCTTGAGAACAGGGTGGATCTGATGCAGATGTGAAGGCGCGGATCGGCAAAGCAAGAGCAACATATTTACAACTGAAGAACATCTGGAACTCAAAACAACTTTCAACAAACACCAAAGTCAAGATTTTCAATACAAATGTCAAGACAGTTCCACTGTATAGGGCAGAAACCTGGAGAACTACGAAAGCCATCATCCAGAAAATACAGGTGTTTATTAACAGTTGTCTACGCAAAATACATCGGATCCGTTGGCCGGACACTATTAGCAACAACCAACTGTGGGAGATAACAAATCAGATCCCAGCGGGGGAAGAAATCAAGAAGAAGAGCTGGAAGTCGATAGGACACACATTGAGGAAAGCACCCAACTGCGTCACAAGACAAGCCCTCACGTGGAATCCTCAAGGCCAAATGAGAAGAGGAAGACTAAAGAACACATTACGCCGAGAAATGGAAATAGACATGAGAAGAAGGAACAAGAATTATATGGAACTAGAAAAGAAGGTCCAGGACAGAGTGGTTTGGAGAATGCTGGTCGGCGGCCTATGCTCCATTGGTAGTAACAGGCGTAAGTAAGTAAGTAAGTAATCTTGAGAGCAGTTATTATCGTCAACGGCGCATACATAACTGACACAATTCAATAACTCACATTTTCATTTCATTATTGTAATCTATTCAGTTCATGTAAAGATGATCGTTTACAAGAGATAATTTCCAACTCATCAAATATTTTATAATATCATGCTTATTTCTTACATCTTGAGTAATTCTTTGCATTCTGTCCTTTTATCTTCTTTCTAATCACAACAACTAACAAATATTAGATGGTAATATCTATGGTGCTGGTGCAACTGGAATCAATGCCGGTACTGGATTGATTCTTTCTCAAGCTGGTGGATTATTTGGTTTAGGCGGTGCTATGATTGATGGTCTATTAGCTGGATTACTATTAGCTTTGTTATTATTAATTTCTGCTTTAATATGGGCATGTTGGAGATGTAAACCTGGATGTTGTGGTTGGTGTACTGGTAAATCGAGCGGATTAGCTGGACGTAGTGCATGGAGTCGATTAGCTGCGATATGTTGTGCTGCTCCTGAAAGCGCTATTATTGGTAAGAGTTTTTTTAAATGAACTTTTTTCAAATCATTTCAAATTACTATGAATGTCTACAATTTACGAATCATTGTATAGTGACCAATGTCATGTATATCAAGTCATTCTTAATACTGATGTAAGGTGATGGTTGGAGGTAGTCGATATCAAACCCTGTATGACCTATGTTTCATGCTATTTGAAATTTCCCAGCAAGGTGTACTTGTAATCTTGAAGGAACTGATGCTCCTTGGAGAATTCGACATAATGTCAGGTAACTTCATAGATAAGGATGTTACCATTGAACCATGCACGCGACGACTGTACACTTTGATGTCGATTATTAAATACCTCTAAACCTAGATCCAAGGTTTCCTCACGATCACCTTCAAATACCATTATATAAACTGTAATTTGTAATGGTTTATATTCTTTCTTTTTTATGTTAAGTTCCGTTGTTTTGAACATCGACACCAGTATGTAAGTACATTCAACTAACGAGTCGCAAGTAGGACGAAACCACTAACTTTGCTTATGAAAAATGTTGTCGTTTTTCCTCGTGTTAAGTTTTTGTAAATCATTGAACTATAGTAATTTTTTATCAAGACAACATTTTATTCTTAAGTAAGATATCATCGTTAAACCTCAATAATTGTAACTCACTGAAGACAATGGTGGATATATCGCTCAACTTCGTGGATTAGTTGAAGTTAGACATTAACACCATTGGATGCCGGGCATCTCAGTGGTCTAAAGGTTAAGCGCTCGCGTAAGAGACTGATAGGTCCTGGGTTAGAACTTCGCGGGGCAGGATCGTGAATGAGCACTACTGAAGAGTCCCATAATGGGACGAAACGGCCGTCCAGTGTTTCCAGGTTTTCAATGTTGGTGTAACATCAATCGGTTCATGATCTCAACTATTGAAATTACTATAATATCCACAAAAACCCCTTCTGATATGAATAAGTATCAAACGAAATTAAGGAAAAAACAGATAAGTTGGGTTGGATATACGGACTTAACCAACCATTTTAGTTAAGTTATGCCAGTGAAAATTAATGAATGTTTAGTTAAGATGTCTCGATATGCATACTTAGACATTTCATATGAACAACATAGATAAAAAGCTTATAATATGTATCGAAAAGAAGATGCACTGATCGAGTTTAAAAGTGTTGAGAAGATTTGTTACTTTCTACCAACACGGAGAATACCAACCCAGTCACATTTAATGAAGAAGCTCTGAAAGATGTGGAATCTTTCACCTACCTGGACAGTATCATCAGTGAACAAAGGAGGATTCGATGCAGACGTAAAGGCGAAGATTGGAAAGGCAAGGACAGAATGCCCACAGTTTATGAACATATGGGACTCAAAACAACTGTCATCTAACATCAAAGTCACAGTCATCAATATAAACGTCAAGACAGTTCTAGTGTATAGAGCTGAAACTTGGAGAACTATCAAAACCATTATCAAAAATGTACAAATATTTATAAATAGTTGTCTACGCAAGATATTCAATGTCCATTGGTTGGATACCATGAGAAATAACTCACTGTGGAAGAAAGCAAATCAACTTCCAACTGAAGAGAAAATTATAACAAGACTCTAGAGGTGTATGGAACATACATTGCTAAAATCATCAAACTGACGATGAGTTGATTTTACTACTGAAGAAACTCATATTAGGGCGAAGCAACAGTACAATGCACATGTGGTGATTCGAAAAGTGATATTCTTTTTAATAATGTATTACTTTCAATGTAAATATCCACTGAAAACATTCTATTGAAACATGGTAGTAGGTTAAAGTTCTGACAGTTATATGCTGTAACTTGACTCAGTTTGTACTATGTTGATTGGCCCACATCTAACCAATCAATATTGGTAAGCTAATGGAAATAGAGATAAAATTTAGTGTATTTTACTTTCAAATCATTGTTCCTTGAGTTCGTTGGCATATGAATGTAGTTCACCTCTATAATTTACCTTAGTTTGAGAGAAGTCGAGTGAGGTATGATGGTTAGGGAATACATTAGCTAGTAGGAAGAACAAAATGGATCTAGGATAATATTTCCATGCTAAGACGCCTTGCTTTTATCTGTAGCAAGAAAATCTGTGTTTAAATACCAGTATAAACAGTAACTTCTTGTTTAAATAATAAAACGCTAGTCAACATTATTACGTGTGGACTGTTTACAGTATCCGGAGGATATGGAGATTGTTGAATTCCATTGCAATCACAAAATAATCGAAGTTACACCACCAATGAATACCTAATTGTGTGTGTCCTATCCACTTCCAGCACTTCTTCCTGATTTCTTCATCCACTGGAATCTGATCTGTTCTCTCTCACAGAAGGTTGTTACTGATAGTGTCTGGCCAACTGATCTGAAGTATTTTGAGTAGACAACTGTTGTTGAACAATTATATCTTCCGGATGATAGCTTCTCATAGTTCTCCAAGTTTCCACCCCATACAGTAGAACTGTCTTGACATTGTCACTGAAAATTCTGATCCTGGTGTTGGTTGACAGACAGTTGTCTTGAGTTCCAAATGTTCTTCATTCGTAAATATACTGCTGTTGCTTTGTCAATCTGCACCTTCACATCTGCATCAGATCCACTGCGTTCATCAATGATGCTGCGCAGATATGTCAAGGTTTTACATCTTCCCAAGCTTTTCCATCAAGTGTGATTCGATTAGTGCATGTTGTGTTGTATCGGAGAATCTTACTTTTCCTTTTATGAATGTTGCAACCTACTGCTGCTGAGGCTGCTGCTACACTGGTCGTTTTTTCCTGCATTTGTTGTTGCGTGTGAGATGGAAGAGCCAGATCATATGTGAAGTATAGATCATCCAGCTGCATCCTAAATGTCCATTGTATCCCATGCTTCCCCACAAATGTTGACGTCTTTATGATCTAGTCACTCACCAGGAGAAAGAGAAAGGGTGAGACTAAGTAACCTTGCCCGACACCGATCTTTACTTTGATCGAGTCTGACAGCTGTCCTCTATGCACGATTTCGCAATTTACGATTACTCAACCATCTTATTATTATTATTATTATCATTATCATTCAAGAAAAATAATCTTTATTTCTTTATTTCCATTTCCTTTATATTCTAATAGTCAAAGAAAAGAAACATTTACTGGTAAGAAACTAAAACCTGTGTTTTATTGTTGTCATTGTTACTGTCAATACCATCGTTGTGTTGATTTATTATCATTTGATTGGTTAGTCATTTGTTATGTTCTATGGTTCGATTTAGTTATTATGTAGACTTCCTATGATACACCAAACCCAATATGTAAGACAAAAAGACCAAAATGATTTGGAATGTTTCAATGTTGAACTGTATATGAAGCTTAGGTATTGTTATAATTTGTTGCCTGAGTGCCCTGCTGATTTATAACATAATGATCCCGCCAATTGTAGAACAGTAAACTATCGATTGAACCAATAACGCATAAAACCCGTATGAGTAGCCTAGAGTCCTTATCGGTCCTGCTTCCTGCCTACCACAGCCTTTTCAGTTCAGAACACCAATCTCAGCCTCTTCAATAAGAATTATTCATTCCAAACATACTGGGTTTATACACCAACCAGGCAGACGACACCGTACCAATAAAAGAGGAAACAACACTTGTACAAGAATTAGCCAATTGTGGCTATGAGTGAGGGAGGTAGTAATTAATAGACAGGGCATAATTCAAGAATGGTAAATCGTATAATAATAATTCATAGGTCAAAATAAAGCTTATAATAAGAGGAATATGAATATGGACAGTTTGGTTACATAACAACTATACGATAAAAATATACTCATAGTATTGATCCATAAAATGGATCCCAAAAGTTACCATTCATTATTCTTGTCGAGATATAACAGGTATATATAAGTATTTTTGTTCTTTTAAATCATTCAACGAAATATTGTTTGAGTTCTTGTTTGGTTATACAATTGAACTGTTTAATAAAAACTATCGAAGGATTAATAGTGTTGAGAAGTGTTATATCTTTTCTCCCTTATCAATGATCACATAACAAAATTATCGATCAAATATCGATTTCTATGTTATTGTCTCTGTTATAAACCAATGATACTTCAACCAACACTAGTAGACTCGGATCAACTCTAAGCTCTTATTCATTTTCTGTATAGCAATTTCTCGCTTAGCTCTGTTCGTTTAGGTTCAGAACACAAATCTCATCCTTCACTGTATGAATCATGTATTATAAACATACTCAGTTTATATACAAGCAGACCTGATTGTATCATATTATAAAATGAAAATTAATAATCATAGAAGATCAAACCAAAGTAGCTGTGAATGTGAGAGGCTGGGAATGCTTAATCGTATAATAGTAGTCAATAGATCAAATGGAAGCTTATGATAAAAGGAATATGATGAATATACTATATAATCTAGTTACTTAATAGTTATCCAATAAGAATTTTTCTGGTTAGCGTTTTTTTTGGCGGTTTAGTTTTCTACGGGATGGGGTCACTAACCCCATGCCCAACCCTCCTCCTTTACCCGGGCTTGGGACCGGCAATAACTCTAGAAGAGCTACAGGCGGAGTTATCCAATAAGAATATATGAAATAATAGTCCATGCTGGTTGGCGGCCTGTGCTCCATTAGGAGTAACCAGCGTAAGTAAGTAGGTAATAATAGTCCATGAATAATCCATAATAGTTACCATTCATTTATAATTCTTTTAAAGCTTTACTAAACAATAGTGACTAGGACATCAAGACAATATCCTTAGAGAATATGATTCACTAGTTCACTTCCTATGCAGATATTTTAGCCTGTTTGATAGAATTTATTTTGTTATATCTATCTATCCTACTTTCTCTCGCTACTTTCCAGAGTGATAATGGCAACATAGGCATAGTAGATGGAGCAGCGGTAAGTTTTATTGATTGTTTCCGCTGTTATTTTGTTCATCAATATAACTAGAATAGATATACAGTTTTTCAATATACCGTTTAATATGAGTCGTCTCACAATAGGACGAAACGACCGTCTCGTACTTCCAGGCTTTCCATAGTGGTCTAGCTACAATTGATTTATGATCTCAACTATTGAAATTATTACAATCTTCACGAAACCCCTTGTGATACAAATGCTGATATTAAATCCTTATAGTGAAGTGTTTTTCTATCAGTTAGTCAGTTAATTCTTAAAAGTGTTATGATCGTTTTGCACATGGCGTGTAGACAACTGTTGACATGAGTATGATTAGCAAAAAATATTGAAAGTTTGAATTGAGATCGGTTGAAAATTTCTAAAAGTCTATGGTATTGAACTAAATCCTCAATCACTTAAATTATCAATATAGGGGTTGTGGAGATTAAGTTTTTGATTGAGATCATGAACCGGTTGATGTTAGACCACCACTGTAAACCTGGAAGCACTGGACGACCGTTTTGTCCTATTGTGGGACTCCTCAGCAGTGAGCATTCAGTGAAGCTAATCCGCGTTGGGTAAAGACAGGTATCTACTTCAGTACAATGGAAGATGGCCGCGGAATTTCATGGATTGGTTGAGGTTAGACATTAACACCATTGGATGCCGGCTCAGTGGTCCAGTAGGTTAAGCGTTCGCGCGCGAGACTGAAGGTTCTGTGTTCGAATCTTTTGAGTGGGATCGTGGATGCCCACTGCTGGGAAGTCACATAATAGGACGAAACGGCGGTTCAGTTCTTCCTGGTTTCCAGTGGTGGTCTAACACCAATTGGTTCATGATTTCAAACAAAAACATTTAAGTTATCGACACTGATCTAATCCATCAACATTTATTGTTCAACCGGTTATATGGTTGGAAGTTAATATAACATAATGAATGTGAAGTTAATAAAAGATTTTGATATGTAGAATTATTCTAATGATTCCAAGCTCAAGTTGATGCTTATAATGTCGTGCTCAATGATAATGAACGCAACATTACTGAATGTAGTCAGTTTAGTTTAGATGTAGGGATATTTAATCGGATCACACGATTATAAAATCCACGAACTGCCAGTTCAGTTTTTGACAATTTGACTAATGACCTTATATTTGACCAATAATAGAATGACTATGAGTAATGACCACAAATTCTTAATTCCTATTGATCCAATGATCTCTTAATCTTAATATCCAACTCAATTTTTATGTTACTATCAAGACCTGAAAACTCATAGAATTGTGTACATTGATTATATGACAAGAATGCCCCACAAATCAAAACCTACAACTTACACGTAACTAATTTATAAGAGATTTTAAAACGGAACAATAAATAAGTGATCAATCAGTATAGGGAATTTGTAGAGATTGTCAAATTTTCACTGTTTAAATCACGAACAGTTCTTAACTAGGCCACCATTAAGAATTTGAAAGTGCTGGATAGGTGTTTCATCTTAGTATAGGATTTCTCAGCTGTGCGCACTCACTATGCCCCACCCGGAAATCAAATCTTTCGTCTGACGCATGAACGTCTAACCTCTAGACCGCTGAGCCGACATTCACCGGTGTTAATGTTTGACTTCAGTCAAATCAAGGTACTGCATAGCTCTCATCCATTACCAGTTGTTAATTGATGAGATTTCCGGAGTGGTAAACATATATCGACATTTAATGAATGAAAATGAGAGTTTAAGATTAAAACAATACGAATATAACATTTAACAATCATCATCGAAGAAGCTTGGGAAGATATAAAAACCTTTACATATCTGCGCAGCATCATTGATGAACACAGTGGATCTGATGAAGATGTGAAGGTGCAGATTGACAAAGCGAGAGTAGCATATCTGAAATCGAAGAACATCTGGAACTCAAAACAACTCTCTATCCACCAACACCATAGTCAGAATTTTCAGTGACAATGTCAAGACAGTTCTACTGTATGGGGTGGAAACTTGGAGAACTATGAAAAGTATCATTCAGAAGATGCAAGTGTTTATTAACAATTGTCTACGCAAAACACTTCGGATCAGTTGGCCAGACACTATCAGTAACAACCTTCTGTGAGAGAGAACAGATCAGATTCCAGTGGATGAAGAAATCAGGAAGAAGTGCTGTAAGTGGATAGGAAAAAGACTGAGGAAAGCACCGAACTGCGTGACAAGGCGAACCCTCACACGGAATCGTCAAGGCGAAAGTAGGAGGAGAAGAGGAAGATCAAACAACACATTACATCGAGAAATGGAGACAGACATGAGAATAATGGTCAAACATTGGATCGAACTAGAAAGGGGTGCCGAGGACAGATTGGTCTGGAGAATGGTGGTTGGGGGCCTATACTCGATTAGGAGTAACAGGCGTAAATAAGTAAGTAAGTAAGTAAGTAAGTAAAAGCGGATATAACAATCCCCTTAAGCAATAGTTCTGAAACATCAATTTCTCCCAGTTATTTTCTTTGATCCAACATACTCATCAGATCGTGTTTCTATGAATTTTCTTCACAAAAATTTTTTAATCTTCTTTTCATCTTTATTAACATAGACTGGTGGTATGACTGCAACAAGTCTACAATCATTACAAACTCAATCACGTATAGTTAAAGCGCCTCTATCGGTAACCAGCTATCCTATAGGACATAATCATAGATTAGATCTGACAGATCAGTAAGTTTGAATTTGTGTTATTTACATGAAAGTTTAACTTGTTTCAAGTTTGAACTACGATTTGATCTTAGTCAGACAATCATTGAAAAACTAAAAAATCAAGGGATAATCGTTTCAGCCCAGTATATAACTTACCAGCAAGATGCATAGATTACTTCATGGAGGACCTAATTCGATAAAGCCGTCAGTTCCGTTGGGAATAGTTCAACCTTTTCAGCATAAGGGTTGTAGATATTGTTGAATTTTCTCTAGCTAGACAATCACAGACGATCCGGAGGTACTGGAAAGCTATTTCGTCACATAATACGACTCCTTAAGAGTGCATATTCACAACTCTGCCACCTAATAGCCTTGAGAGGAATTTTCTAGAGTTTTAGTGAGAAGCCTTGAAGTGTTATTCAGTCACATCATGTATGAGAAAGTTATCCATCAAAGACAATAGAGGATAATAATTCACAAATCAATTCACTTTTTGAAAAGAGACTACTGACATGTTACTGAAATGTCTCGCTATCGCTCTACCTACCTACCTACAATAAACAATTTCTAAATGAAAATATTCGTTAGTGTAACTATAATTTATGGATAACTTTTGAGCAACGCTAAAGGGACATTGAGAAAACTTACTTACTAGGGTCTAAAGAGGATTATGAGTTAATGTGAGGAAATGGGATTAAGAGCTAGAGTTAGCTAGAGTTGGAACTGACATCAGCTATAATGCTATATGGATGTATGAACCCCATGCCGAAATCCATGCCCTCTTATCTTCAGTCTGATTGGTTCGTCTACATACTGTAGTTGATACTTTTATGTTCAACATGTTTCTTTTTTTTAATGAAAATTTCAGAATTGGAGCATCAGGTATTTCCACTATACGTATTGATCAACCAGTAATGGATGATTTAAGCGCACGTCAAAATGTCTACAATATGGAAGGTATGAAAGTTGACTGTGTTGTCATTACTAAGAATAGTAAATATGTTGTAACTGGATCTGGAATGGGACCACCACAAGTATGGGATACTCAGGTAATTTAATTAAGTAGTAATGTTTTCAATGTATTTTGGTAATGTACATTTATACACATCTAAGTTCTTTGTCGAATAGTTTCAACCAACTAATGTCAGTTATAGTAATATTCAATATGAGATCTGGTACATGTATGTTTATTGATCCAAGTAATCATGATTCACATCAGCACATATCAACAGAAGAGATTTTATGAAAAGTAAATACAAGGAATTCAATTTTACCTCTAGTGGAAATCGAACTAGGAAGTATTTGTCCTCAAAAGAATGCATTAAGAAAAATATACAGAATGATTACAACCATGTCGCTGACTGATTTCGTATCAGATTACTGAATAATTAAACCTTTATTTAGTGTTGAACACTCTGCACTGTGATGTCAACTCATTGATCAGACAAACATGATTGGTATCATTCAGGTAGTGAATAAGAACCAAAAAACACTGGATAATTGTCTCGTCTTTGTGTGTGAATCCTCAGCTGTATACACCTATAAATCCTTTAGGGATTGGATACAGGACCTTCAGATTTATCAATGAGCGCTTAATCTTAAATCCACTGAACCATCATCCGATTGTCTACGTATTTCAACTTTAAACAATTCGTCATTTCCACAAACCTTTTTCATACAGATCAAACATGATATTAGTTACTAATTAGTGATTGATGAATCAAAATAGTGATCTGTATTTTGTCTATTGTATAATTTCATTCAAATAATTGAAGCCAGTAGGTCCTGGGTTCGAATCCCGCGGGGGGCGGGTTCGTGGATGCGCACTGCTGAGAAGTCCCATACTAGGACGAAACGGTCGTCCAATGCTTCCAGGTTTTCCATGGTGGTCTAGCTTCAATTGACTCATGATTTCAACCTGTGAAATTTCCTAAAATCTCCACAAAACTCATTCTGAAAATAATTGATTATTAAAAGTTATGTAATCACTGCATCTCTGAATATCTATGATTAACATCATTAGGAATTGGCACTTATTCACTCTTAATAATTCCTTGCTCTCTCTTTTTCTCTCTTTCTCTCTGTGCAATATTCCTACAGTCTGGTGATTTATGCAAAATTATGGATGGTCAAGAATTTGGTTGTACAGATCTACATTTAGCTTGTGATGATTCTGTTCTAGTTGCTCAAGTATTAGATGATATCACTGGATTGGATACATTAAATGAACCAAGTGAAATTCGTGTAAAACGTCTACAGGTAAACGTTAAAAATGATATTGTTTTATTCCTATGAAGATAGAAGAAATCTTGAGTGTTTATGTGTGTATGTGTGTGTATCAGTCTGTCACAATGTTGCTATGCAATTAGCACATATATATATGGAATTGTCAGATCAAGTCTCAAAAATAGGAATTGTATCAGTGGTAATAGAAACGATTAGACATCGAGTATTCAATTCAAAAAAGTTAATAAAGAATTCTAAAGCTTAGAATTTGGACATAGACCAACAACCGATTCATTGGAACCATTTGTAAACGATTTCGAACCATGTTATTCAAAGTCTTTAACTATCGCTTACAATAATCATGTGGATCTCTATATGTATATAGTTTTTATATTCAATGAATCTTATTTTATGATGTAACTGTATTTTAATGATCATCTTGAATCAATTTAAAGTGAGCACTTATCTATAAACAACTCCAAATGTAGATTACCTGAATCAACAATTTAGTCTACAAGTGTAGCGTAGAGTCCAGTCGTGATTGACTATGAACACCACTACAATAAAGCGCGTACCAGAGAAACTAGAAGGTGAAGATGGAGCGTAGCCAGATTTATTTCGTTGGTGATCTCGTGGTGTCGAACGAAATCCGAGATCGTGTCAAAATGGATACAAGCGGAATTAGTGGGCGAGAGTACAAGCGTACAAGGTCACAGTCCACGGGAAAACAATGGAATCTAATGGAATAGTAATATGGCTGTCTTTAGCACAGTTAAACAAACGAGCACAGTAAAACAATCACTGGTACAATTGGTTATAATAATGATTGTTCTCATTAAACGCATCTCGTTCTCTTGATAAAATTAGGTCACTATACAAGGCTACAGTTTTTCTCAAAAGACTTAAGATGATTCTCTGTATCAATGATGTTATATTGTTCAAAAGAGTTCATATACACTTTTGATTATATCTTGAATAAGATATAGTTTTGTTATTAATGCAGGTTAATCGATTTCTCGAGAAGACTTGTCAACCAGAATTCATGTTAAAGTTTGTTTACCTTGTGTGTTCTATTTTGTCTGTAGTTTAATGTCCTAAGCTTTGACTAATGATACACTTCAAATACCATGATTAATCTTTTTAATGAAGTTTTATTCTCGGAGCTGGATGGGTTGGTCGTGGAGTTTTCATCGATCCTCTGAACAACATCATCAGCACAAACTTCATTGTCCTTCTGAACGATGAAAGCTCCATGAACTAAACCATCCAGCTCAGAGAACGAAACTCCACCAAAATCATCCACCTGAGCTGCAAATCTTCTCCACCACCATGATTAACCTTAAATTGAGACTGATAGCGAATAGGATATTGTCGAGAAGAGATCAACTAATTAATTTTTCTTGTTATTACATCATAGTTGTTTCTTTAAAGGATAACCCTAAGAACCATATTTCCGTGATAATATATGTTGTTACCTGATTGGTTGTTATCGCATTAAGTTTGCTAAATTTAATCTAAACTACATGGTTATCGTATGTTAATAAATGAATAGCGGCTAAACGTTCGCACATGAAATCGAAGATCCTGGATTCGAATCTTGCGTGAGGAATTATGGATGTGCACTACCACTGAGGAGTCCTATACTAGGACGAAGCAGCCATCCAGTGCTTCCACGGTTTTCATTAGTAGTAGTAATCTTATATTGATCAATTCATGATCTCAATCAAAATGAACCGAGTTGTCCCATTATTTTCTAAAAGTTTCATCTTCTCTATCTCTATTAACATGGGGATTTTCACTGTACCACCACCTTATCATTTTCTACATTTTCTTTCTTCATCTTGTTCTTTTTCTTTACTGTTTTCAGTTATGGGATTTCGCTACAGGTCGACAACTTGAAATGCCAATTGAAATTATGTGTACAGCTACTTGTATTACACGATCCAGTGAATATGTTATCATTGCACAAGTTACACAAGAAGGACCAGCTATATTAGTATGGAATTTAACTGGTAATCAATCAGATCATATTATTCCATATCATCCAGTGAATCCATTATTAAAAGATTCTATTTCATATTTGAATATTTCATTGGATGATCGTTTAGTTGTTGCTGGATTAAATAATCCAACTGATGAATTAGCTTACTTTATGGTGTTTGATTTAACTGCTAGTTATGTGGTAAGTTTTGATTGGATTGTTCTCTTTTTGAGTAATTAAAATAGACTAAGACTGAAGATTTTACAGTTGATAACATTCATATAAATCTGTCAATTCATCTTATAATTGGATCCAATGTTGATAGGGTAAAAATTAGTCTACTATCTACTAGCTCCAATCACTTAGCATCAAATTGGTAGTCCATGAGATGTTAACACAGTTAGATGCACGCTCAATTGTCTGGAGGTTAAGAGTTCACAAGCCAGACTGAAGGTTATGAGTTCGGTTTTCACGTGCAGGGTTGTGCACGCGCACTACTAAAGAGTTCCATACTAGGTTCAAATGGCCGTCAAGTGCTGCCAGGTCCCTGTACTATATCCCTATTACAATCTTTCTTTTATATATTACCACTTCTGAATGAACTACTTTTATGAATCCGGTTTTCATCTTGTTGTGTTAATGAGGTATGGCAACTCGGACCGATGCATATATGTGCCTGGTCCTACGTTGTAGCTGACTGACTGACTGACTAACGTAGATAGGTTCACTTAGACTAGTAGTCACACTGTAAGTTCATTGATTGAATCCGATCAATATTAAAAGACTAGACAATGATCATATTCACTACTCAGTGATCAGTCATTTATAAATTATCCTAACAGAAGTCAATCGTATCCCGATTATCACAATGGTAACGTTTCATATTGTGAAACATCGTGATCCAGGTTCAAATCCACCATGACGCATCAATTCGTTGAAGATTTCTGGTACACCTTACTGACAAGTACTGATTAACATGAAGTTCTAGATCAAGAGTAATTTCGCAAATGAAAACTTTACAAAGTGCTTAAAATGCTTATGATACACGTAACCCTCAGATTATTATCAAATAACATTATGACATTTATCTTTCATTAATTTCGTTTACAACGGTTAAATGGGACTATGCAACAGTCATTTATAGAAGCTTTCTGGTAGCCTTTTAAAGAATCGTAAAAATAACTGACCTGAATTCACATGGATCAGTATTTGCTTATTGTTACTTGGAGGAAAACACAGATTGTTTAATCGGATTATATTGGTCGGACAGTAATGACAGGAAAGCAGAAACATAACCTTTCTCTCTCTTCCTCGTTCTTCTATATTCCCAGTAGAATCCATGACCTTCTATTTACCGGTTGACATCGATCAATGGGCAACCACTAAGACCTTAACACTTATTGATCCCCGAGCTCTTTGCCTAATCAGAAGATGAAGATTTGGAACAAAATTATTCTCTATTTTATTTCAATTATAACTTGAAATAGACAATAATATTCTTTTTTTGATTGAGATCATGAACCTCATTGATGTTAAACCACCATTGAAAACCTGGAAGCACTGGACGACCGTATTGTCTTATTATGGGACTCCTCATCAATGATGGTCTAACATCAATCGGTTCATGATCTCAATCAAAAACTTGAACAATCTCTACAACCCCTAAACTGATAATAATATTCTTGAAATATCCGATCACAAAGTAACACAACTATGTAATTACAATGTATACATAACCTAGTCAAAAGTGAGACAAAACCGAAGTAATAGACGAATAGTTAATTAGTGATTAATGTAGGATAGTAAGACATGACAACGATATGTCGGTCAAATGAAAGCTTAGAAATACGAGTATAATATAATACAACAGTTCAAAGGTCTACCAATTATGATAGTCTCACAAGTTGCACTTACTTACTTATTTACGCCTGATAACCCCACTGGAGCATAGGCCACCGACCAACATTCTCCAACCCATTCCGTAATGAGCCTTCATTTCTAGTTCTATTCAATTGTTGTTCATTCTTCTCATATCTGTCTCTATTTCTCAATGTAATGTGTTCTTTGGTCTTCCACTTCTCCTTTGACCTTGAGGATTCCGAGTGATGAGGGTAGCCTTGTGACGCAATTGAGTACTTCCCTCAATCTTTGTCCTATCCACTTCCACTGATTCTTTCTGATTTCCTCCTCTACTGGAATCTGGTTTGTTCTCTCCCATATTAGGTTGTTGTTGATAGTGTCCGGCAAACGAATCCGATGTATTTTGCGTAGACAACTGTTAATAAACACCTGTATCTTCTGGATGATGGCTTTCGCAGTTCTCTAGGTTTCCACCATATACAGTAGAACTGTCTTGACATTTGTATTGAAAATTCTAACCTTGATGTTGCTTACAAGTTGCACTTCTGAAATATCCGTCCCATTATATCATCCTTGATAGTGTGTTTTCATTTCCAATGTCATAGTGAATAAATTGATTATCATGATGCATCAAATCTTCATGACATTTTTATAACAGAAAAAAGAAATTCACTTGGTATTGTTTACTTGAATCTTCCCATTGAAGTTTAGGACAGTAATTGGTCAGTCTCTTATTGGCATATGTGCATATTTTGCCGATTGTTTCGATATTGCCTTAATTCACAAGCATTCTAAGCAAATATGGGTAGTAGCTAGTAGTGGAATCCAGGACACGCGTTTCATCCTATTTGGGACTCATCAGCTGGACATACTTACATCTGAGTTGTTGTTCACTCTGTGACTCGAACCCAGTACCTTTCGCTTCAAATGCCATCATTTTATCCACTTACCTACTCAGTGATGATAACCACATGCTTGTGCAATAGGGTGAAGTTTAATCGACTTGGTATTGTTATTTACTTGAATCTTCCCATTGATGTTTAGGACTGTAAGTGATCAGTCTCTTACTGGCATATGTTCATCCTGTACGAATTCTCTCGCTATTGCCTTAATTCACAAACACGATAAGCAAAGATGGATGAAAGAAGGATAATTCTTATGTTTCTTCTATAATTCGGTTGAACATCTCAACATCACTGTTTCTATCAAATATATCAATCATTCAGTAGGTATATTATAGTTTAAGAAAACAGTTAAACCTACACACCCATAAAGCATATCACAATATCTCAAATGTCATCATCTTGTAACTACTTGAATCCAATTACATGTAACTATGTAATCACATGTAAAATCAATAATTAACACATTTTATTACTGAAATAATAACCGATGTATCATGATGATAATGATGATGATGGTGGTGATGAAGATAATGTTACCCACCACTAGGCATAATCAGAGAAAACACATCAAACTTTTTATTGTAATAACTAGGGGGGGGGTTAGTAACATTAAGTTGATAAGGAGTAACATAGTAGAATAATAATAAACATTACCGACAATATTGATTATCATTCATGTAAATGTCAAAAAAATAGTTTCATTCTACATATTTTCATTATCGAAAAAAAAGAAGGAATTGAGAAAATGGTGTAAAACACAATGATTCATTTATATGAAATGGATAAAATAACTACCATTTTAGAAAATGATAAACAAAAGTCAAAAGTAAAGATGAGGTTAGTGATTAACATTGGAATCCAGGAGGCGTGTTTCGTCCTATTTTTTCACTGGACTCGTCAGTTGGATGCACTTGTATCTCGGAAATTTTCATCCATTAAATTATATTGTGTTTAGTTGGTGTGAATGAGTTTGGTTATTGGTAAAGTGTTAAACATTAACCTGATCACAATTTGATGGAGTAACTATGGAAGATGTGAGATCTTTCATATACTTGGATAGCAACATTATCAATAAACAAGGAGGATCAGATGCAGACGTATAGGCGAGGATTGGTAAAGCAAGCACAGCATTCATAAAATTGAAGAACATATAGAATTCAAAGTCACAATCTTTAATACAAACGTCAAGACAACTCCACTGAATAGAGCTGAAGCGTGGAGAACTACTACAACCATCACCGAAATTGTACAAGTATTTATAAACAGTTGTCTACGCAAGATACTCAAAATCCGTTGGCTGGATAGCATCAGCAACAACCTACTACGGGAGAGGACAAATCAGATTCCAACTGAAGAGGAAATTAAGAAAAGATGTTGTAAGTCGATCATGAGAATCTAGAAACAATCATACAGAAGCAGAACTCTTGTTTATATGTATGTATGTGCACCTCATATATACATCTGTTGATATTTTGATCAACTCTCAGTTATTTGTTATGACCCGCAGGAAGATAGAACACAATTGTATCTGAACTGAAACTGTATACGTCAACACTATTGAAACTTATCTAGAGGTTGCATAACCAATTCTTATTCCTTTTTACTGCGATATTGAATATTTTGATTGTTTGATAAATGAAAAATTTTGACAAGACTATCCTGAACCGATGACCTACAGGGATTCTGGTAATGACATTGTGAAAGGCCAGTGAGTCAACCATCAATCAAAATACAGCTTTTTGCGAAAACTTATCAAAATACAAAAGAACATCAAGATCAGAGAGGTTTGAGAGCATGGATACGATCAATCAATCTGAAAACCAGACTCTATATCTCTGTAGTACAGACCAAAACATGGCAAAAATTCATTAAGTCACTGACAAGTGGACTGAGACATGTCGGTAGGTGTAAACTAACTGGTTGGGATCCGTGAGACGATAGCTACCGATGGTTAGAGGCCTTGAATGACATGGCCCAAAAGCATTTGCAATTGCGCAGGTGCATCCACTTCTTGTGTTCTCTCAAATTCTAATCATCTGAATTCTTCATGTCCCTTTTTCACTGGATTATATTTTTTGAGTAACATCTTCAAACCCTAATCTTTCCGATTACTGCTTATACTTTTACTACCTCTACCACTACGGGATTTGAACCGACAATTAAATCTCTTTGCTAATATGGTATGGCGACTTGAACTGATGTACGTACGTAGGAAGTTCTACGTTTTTACTCACTGACTGACTGACTGATAGTATTTATTTGCAAAATCACGAGTTATATCTGCTAGACCTTCAGTGGTCGTACTTTATGTTGTGATAATCCATTCAATCATATAACTCAGCAAAGAGTGTACCATGTCTTATGGCTTTCTTTGAACATCATGTTCTGCAGTGTAAAATAATATCATCCTTCGATTCTCCAGTCTCATGAAAAACAAACTGTATCTTAGACAATCTATCTTCTATAGGTTTTGTACCGTTGAATCATATTCTAAATCAAGTGAAATGCCAAATATCATTTTCATTATCTATGCAACGAATAGGTTATCTATAATTATGTTTGAATAACCGTACTGAAACCTAAGAACATTAACTTCATTCTGATTGATTCACTGAAAGTCAGCAGTTTAGCATAGTCTTATCGAATTCTATTGAGACCAGAATAATAAAAAAAGCGGTTGAGACTACAATTTATGGACGACCTTTGAGTGACGCTGAAGTGACTTAGAGAGTTAAAGTCATGAAATATTATGGGGGATTAGAATTATGATGATTAAAGTAAGGAATTAAATTTGAGAGGTTTTTTGATCACGAATTGACATCAGCTATAATGCCAAAACTCAATTTATCCCAATAGATGAATGAATTCACAAGTGATTGATCACTGGGTGGTGGGTGATCAATGTCATGTGTGTCAAATCCTAATTAGTGCAGATCGAATGCTATCGACCATGATGCAATCTGGCCACTAGTCTAGGTGACTCGACACTGCGTGCACTATTGTAAGATTAGATGATGGTTGGACGTAGTTGATAGGAAACCCTGGACCCGGGTTTTGTGCTACTTGGCACTCGTCAACAAGGTGTACCTGTAATCCTGAGGGAACTGGTGCTCCCTGACAGATTGAATTTCATGCCAAACTCCGAGACCTTTTATGTTATCGAATCCAGAAAAAAAAAGAAAACAAGAATCCATAAAACAAACCCCAGTATATTTCATTATCAATCACATAATTACATTGATATTATTACAAAAAAATTATTTTTATTACTTACTATTTATAATATTATCAAAATGGAAAACAACTTACCTTATGTGTATGTGTGTGTGCATGTGTGCCTATCATCATATATGTACTTAGGTGTGTAAGTGTGTGTATGTATCTACTATTTCCATTTGATTTATTTTTGTCTCGGATAGAACTAACTTCATATTAACTGATTGATTGGATATACACTGATTAAGGCTACTACTACTACTACTACTGTTACATAATTTGTTAAGTCATGTGATGATGTACACAATATTTTACGGGGATTTTGATTGGTTGCTGTGACAATTTTGTGCGCACAACTTTGATTGGTTAGTGTTTGTTTTGTTTTCTGTAGTAAGATTATTTTCTATGGGATGGGGTGGCTGACTCCCACACTCAACACCTACCTCTTTTACCCGAAATTAGAATCGGACAGTAGCCCTAGAAGAGCTACAGGCGGATATTTATACACTTACTTACATATATGTATGTATGATTATATATAATATAATCAATCTGAGAATTAACCTAATTTCTGGACATCATAGATAAATTCTTTTGCCAAATTGACTGATATTCGATCAATTATGTATCCATGGGTGGTGAACAAATGGATCTTGCTCATCTAAGGCCTATTAAAATAGACAGATGTACACAATTTTTTATGAAGGGAAATGACTCTTCTATTTGTTTGTAACAAAACAAGTAACATTAATTTATTATTATTAAAGCGATCAAATGTCTGATTCTTTAATTTATGTCTTATAATCAGATTTGTTCTAGTGTACTATAAATTGCCTATCATTCATGATTGATGATATTTATGATGGCATTAATAGAATTCAAGAGTGAAACAGTTGAATCTAGAACTAGATCATTAGTACATAGATTTGTTGAATCATTTCAATTATTGACAAGTACAAACCTAGATCAGTATTCTAAGATGTAGAGATAAAGATGATGAAGGGATGATTTATCAATGTGGAGTGATGAAGATTAAATTTTGAAAACCTGGAAGCACTGGACAACCGTTTCGTCCTATTGTGAGACTCCTTAGCAATAATGATGTTCACCCTGAAACTTGAACACCATATGACAAGTCTCAAATAAGACGAAACAAACCTCCTGTATTTCACTGTTAACAATCATTCGTCTTTACTTATATTGTTAATTCAGTTTTAATTCTCCCATTTTGTTTACTACCTTCTCAAAGGGTATACATCAACCGAAATTTATCACATTTAATGCTAAAGCTGAAGCTACTGAAATCATTGGAAATGATGAAGCTGTGACAGGTTAGTTTCTCTCTAATAGTTATGGAATGATTTTTATTGAATGATCTTATTATTTCATAGCTTAATCACATCGTGTAGATAATAAGATTTGAAAGCTGTAACAGTGTATCTCCTTGACCTTTTTGGAAATGTCAAAAAATAATTACAGGAATCGTTGACTTAGTCATATAATAATGGTCGTCTGTAAACGATTGATCACTCAGTAGTAACCAGTCGGTTTTAGGCGTCTCAATCCAACAGGTGGTTAGTTTGAGTTTGAAAAGTTAAATGATAGCATTTAAGGATGTAAAAGAGGTGATATTCATTCGATTCTCACAAGGGACATTGGTCCCTTAGAGATTTCCGGTAAGTTTTTCTGACGACTCCAAATTTACACGAAACCTAGATCAAGAAAGGTTTCTCACAGACTGCTTCTATTCATTTAACATCAGTTATATGATAAAGCCAGAGTACAATCGAGTAATTTGATACATAATGAACTACTTATTTATTTGTTTAAACACGTAAATATTGGTACAAAAATAACGAATGCATATGCGCCACACCTTTTTCGAGGAGGCAGTGAATAGGACTTCCCTGACAGTAGTTGTATTCAAGTGGCTATATGAGAACATTTCTAGACGAAGAACTAACTCTCAACGTTCTCGCGAGATGATAGCAACCGATGGTTAGAGACTCTGAATGACATGGCTCAAAATTGTTTCCCATGGCGCAGGTGCATACACTCTTTGTGTTCTCCCAAATTTTGATCTCCTTATTCCTCCTTGTCTCTTTTTTTTCTCTTCGCAAATTTCCTTCACTGTATTATACTCTTTAAGTAACGTCTCCAAACACTAATCTTCCCGATTACTGCTTATACTCTTATTACCTCTACTACTACGAGATTTGAATCGACCACTGCATCTCTGTGCTAATGTGGTGTGGCACCTCGAACTGATGTACGTATGTACGAACTTCTACGTTGTTACTGACCGACTGGTTCTCGAATGTACCAGGGGATTCGGGAACCATAATGCACTCCAGTTATGTCACATTGAAAATAAACGTGATGCATAGTTACATCATTCTGCTATCATCGTCCTTTTTGTTCATTAATATTGACATTCGTAAACATTCTTTTAACGGTCTTCTTAATCTTCAAACGGTACAATAATCTTTGTGAATTTTTTTAAATGAATTCTTTCCCTTTTTTCTTAGACAAATGACATAGTTATTCATTTTATCACCAAGACAAGGATGAGCTTAAAAACAACCGTGATGACTTTTTGGTCAGTTTTCAGCTCATTAAGAAACGGAGAAAAACAATCATATTTGAATGTGTAACCAGATGTTACATAATTAATATGTTTTCTACAGACTATACTACGTGTAAACACTTCCATATGGATGTAGGTTATCCATCTACTTCATCTCATAAAAGAACTCAAACAGATTTTTAAGAGCTCTCACCGTGTCCCTAGTTTTAAGCTTCGGTACTTACTTACTTACGTATGCCTGTTACTCCTAATGGAGCATAGGCCGTCGACGAGCATTCTCCAACCCACTCTTTCCTGGGTCTTCTTTTCCAGTTCTATCCAGTTTTTGTTCATTTTCCTCATATCTGTCCCCATTTCTCGACGTTATTTGTTCCTTGGTCTTCCTCTTTTCCTTTGGCCTTGAGGATTCCATGTGAGGGCATGTCTTGTGACGCAGCTGGGTGCTTTCCTCAATATGTGTCCTATCCACTTCCAGCGCTTCTTCCTAATTTCCTCCTCCACTGAGATCTGGTTTGTTCTTTCCCACAGTTGGTTGCTGCTAATAATGTCTGGCTAACGAATCCGAAGTATTTTGCGTAGGCAACTGTTAATAAACACTTGTATCTTCTGGATGATGGCTTTCGTTGTTCTCCAAGTTTCCGCCCCATACAGTAGAACTGTCTTGACATTTGTATTGAAAATCCTGACCTTGATGTTGGTTGACACTTGTTTTGTGTTCCAGATGTTCAGTTGTAAATAGTTAAGCTTCGGTATTTAAGATTTAAGTTTTCATCATAAACTGACATCACCTATAATGAAAAATTGATTACTCTGTAGCTATATGTATCTATAATTAGTGCACTAAAATGCAAAGGGTAGTGCCAGATTATAAGTAGATATGGATGGTGGAATCTATGATATATGTTTTGTCCTATTGGTGACTCGTCAGTCAAATGCATCTGGATGCTAAATTCGATTTTCACTCTTGGAATAGAACCTAGTACTATGCATTTCAAACACCATCGCGTTATTCAGGTAGCAACTGAGTCTAGATAGCATATTGACTTGTGGAAAGGAGAGAATTTTACTTCATACATATATATTGAATTGCTTGGATCTTCAAATGGATGTTTAAGATTACAATAGATTGGTCTATATCAGCTTTTTTTTTGTTCAGTTCTAATATACTTTTATGATTGTTTTAATACAATTTAAGGTACACGTCGAGGTGAATTATTTGTATGGAATTTATTAACTGGACGAGTTATGCGTCAAATACAAATTAGTGCAACATTAGAAGGTGGTAATTTAACTATGTTACCACCACATAGTGAAACAATACATTGTGTTAAATTATCTACAGATGGACATTATTTAGTAACTGGATCACAAGATCAAACAGCTAGAATATGGACAATGCCAGATGAACGGTTATTGCATACATTAGAAGGACATGCTGATGATGTAAGCTAACAAAAGAGTCTATTCATGATTAGTTGATATGATTTTGTTGTTGAATTATGATTGACAATGTGATCAAGAATGAAAGTTCTTTCCCTATGACGTTTGAAGCGAACGGTACTGGATTCAAGTCCCAAAGTGAACATCAACTCAGAGATGTAGGTACATCCAGCTGATGAGTCCTAGATAGAACGAAATGTGCATCAAACTGGATTCCACTGCTAGCCACTATCCATCTTTGCTTATAAAAGCTTGTGAATTAAGGCAATATCGAGGCAATATGCACAGGATACACATATGCCTATAAGAGAGTGATCAATTGCAGTCTTAAACCTGTAAGAGTGAATGACTAGATTATAATTTATAAACAAACTAATCAAATTGAAGATAACAGATCTTGAATTTTGGCACAAAATTCATTCACTCATTTGACTTCATATGATTTTGGCATTATAGCTAATATCGGTTCGTGATGAAAATATTCAATCTAATTCCTAACCCTGATATTTAACTGTAATTCACAATGCTTATTCCTCACCCTAGTAGGTAGGTGAACATCTCAAGATCACTTAAGCTTTGCTTAAAGATCATCCATAAATTATGGGTCTCATTGTGTTTAATTCTTAGGCCTTACATAAAGTAGTTTGTGAATGAATCTCTTTCTTGTGAGTACGTTAACATCATCATCCTTTCATGGAAGTTGATAAGTATATGTTCCATAACTAAACCGGTAATTTTAACCATGACATGACCTTGAAAACGCATCTTCATATCTGATTGGTTTGTTAATATACATTGAACTTATTCTATTATTCAGTAAACTAGTAAGTAAGTTTAGTTCGTAAATTTCTTATTGATAAATATGATATTCGAGAATATTCTAAATGTGTCACTTGGATTTTCAAACACAAACATTGATGATTCACAGGAATTTCAGTTTGTTTTAAAGGATTCAGTTAGTTGAACTGTTTGTGTAAACTCAATTGTTTACCAGTTAATATTCGTTTTTAGTTAGGACCGACAATTTCAAAGATATTCCATTTCAAGTATAGGGGTTATGGAGGTTATTAAGTTTTGATTAAGATCATGAATTGATTAATGTTAAACCACCATTGAAAACCTGAAAGTACTGGGCGACCGTTTTGTCCTATTATGAGAATCTTGAATAGGAGTGAACATCCACGACCTTGCTCGCAGGATTCTAACCCAGAGCCTTTGGTCTTGCAGGGTTTGTTGGGGTGACCCAGCAAATTTCTTGCAAAAGACAAGCAAGGATCAGGAAACACCAAGATGCGTTCCGTCCAATCAGCGTTCATTCGAAGTTTTAACCAAAAATATCAAGGAAGTGAAATGTCACATGCAGAGGTTCTGATTAGCTGATCGCTACACTGCTACTATGTTTAGTAGCATCCCAGAATCTTCTAGCAAGGCAAGGACATTTAAACTTTTATAAAAACGCTGTATTTTCTGTATTGAAATGAACCGTGGAGTAAACTACTTCTCACATACTTTGCGTCTTCTCTCTCGTGTTCAGGTTGCTGTATATTTCTAGCTTGGGGGTTACAGAATACCTTAGAAGACGAATATAGCGTTCAATTTGCAAGACTTATCAGAGTTCTATTACAACACATTGATTAGTGATGTAATCTGTATTAAACTTAAGATAATAACTGATAGATATGAAGTAATACATGTAAGGATTTTAGCTTACTATTCATCATTTGTTCTCTTTTTTTTTAAATTTCAGGTTCTTAGTGTAGCCATTTCATTGGATTCAGAAGTTGTTGTCACTGGTAGTTGGGATGGTTCAATACGTGTATGGCGTGTACGTGATGGTAATCAAATGTGTTGGTTCACATCAAATATTGAAATATTACAAGTCAAAATAAGTAATGATAAACGTGCATTAGTTGCATTAGGTGAAAGAAGTGGACATCGTAAATTAATTATGTTACAAGTATTACGTAATCGTACAAGAACAACAACTAATTTACGTACAGCTGGTTCACGTATCAATTCATCATTATCACCTCCAACACCAGGTTATTCACCATCATCTCCTGTTATTATGGCATAGAAACAATAAGAATAAGAAAAAAGAAAAAGAAACAAAGAGAAGAAAATGGTTTTCTACTAATTATTATTACTATTATCATATTTATCCAATATTAATCTCAATGGAATCGTTTCATCCATATTCTTCTTCTTCTTCTTCTTCTTTATTTTTGCATTGTCAACATGAGTGCTTACACTATTACATCATCATCATCATCATTATCATGATCGATCTCAAGTCATTTAGGAGTTATGAAATTATTATTATTATTATTATTATAACATTGTTTTTGCTAGAAATAATCATGTCAATACTACTTATATTCTTATTCTTCTTCTTAGTATTACTATTACTATGAGTATTATTAGTAGTATTTATAATGTTCAATAATACCGAGGTTGATAAACAAACAAGACAATGTCACTCTATTTTCCTTACATCATATATCTATTCAACTCCAAGAGTACAGTTTATAAAGACACTAAGAATAGTTATAATGAAATTACATATATATTTCTTTGTTCTTATTGTTGTTGTTGTTTTGAAACAATCGGTTTCAATATCCAATCATCAATTGAACCATTTATTTATTCAATCAATCAATAGATCGATCAATCAATTAATTAATCAATCAATAATCACTATGTTATTTCGATCAAATACGGAAACCAAATTGATCGAAATGATTTTTAAAAAAATCGTTTTGCTTTCACATTGTGTCTTATTTTTTTGTTGTTGTTGCTAAGACAGGATTTTCTACCCAACAACGTCTATTCTTCTAAAAAAAAATAATCGATAAATGTCTACCAATATACATATGAATACATAAAGTGCATTTAATAAAACATTATTTTATTCAGTGCTAATTTCCTTCTAAACAGCACTCTACTCCACTCCACCCCATCCTATCACACTTATCCCTCACATATACATACACACACACGCGCACACACGCAGTTTAGTTGATCTATTTTTTCTCTTTGAAGTTTTGTCTTTATTTTCTTCGTCTTCTTCAGTTTGATATCTTCTATATAATGAGAATAAATAATGGAAATTTTTATTAAGGGACAAAAGAAAACAGGTTGTATTCAATGTTCACTTTAATTATTTTCTTAACTTTTGTTGCTAAGTAGTAAAAATAACAACAGATTAATTATTCTTTCATATACAGATATCTGCATTTGTATATGAGGATAATATCTAGTTGTTCATTGATAGTTTATAATTATGTATGTTCTTCTAATATCAAAGATTCTTTCTTTTTTGGATGATGATGATGATGATGATGATTGGAAATATGATTGATGGTTTATTGATTTGTTTGTTGATAATCATTGTGTTTTCATACTAAATTGAATTATATAATCTTATGTTTGAAATAGAAAGGTCATAGAAATGCCATAATCTCTGTGATGTGTGTAATTCTTATCTTTTAAAATGGGCTTAGTAACAACTATTCTCTTATATATAGGTTTATATACATTCGAACACATACATACATATATACACATATATATATATATAATGCGGTCTATTTTTAGAAGTTTACCCAAACGTTTTTTCTTCCAACTAGAGAAAAAAAAGGCAAAAACAAAAACAAAAAGAAATAAACAGAATTAGTAACTATGCTGAGGATACTGTTTTGTGATTGGCTAATTATTTCAGGTATTCTATTCTCCATATTATACATTAAGTTAAACAATCTATTTTTTGGCTGGAGTTTTCTTTTCTTTCACTTAACACATGAATATTTACATATGACATAATAAGTAGAAAACAAAGAAGAAGAAGAAGAACAGAATCATGAAACATTCTCTTTATTTTATTTGTCAATATGATTCTTTTATTTATTATGTTTTTCTCTTTTTTTCTTTTCTTTTCTTTTTTCTCGTTGATATTAAATCTTTTATTGATATATATATATAGTTTATTGTTTATGGAACTATTCTATGAAAAGGATTTTATTCCACTATGACATAATTCATATGCTTATTGTGTTGAATTCATTCGATGGATTCATTTTGCCTAGAAATTGCTTATCTATCTATCTATCTATCTATTTATAGTACTGTATACAATACATGTCATATATGGATAGGATTGTTTATCTTTTGATTCATTTAATCTACTGAACTACCTAATTCTTTGACTGTTGAAGGAATGTTTTTTTTTCTTATTCACCAATCAGAATGTTGCTTTTATAGAAGATGTTGATGACATTGAATTGATGAAAATAATAAACAATGAATATACATAGTTAGCTAGTTATATTACGTAATAATTATGATTATGATTATTATTATTGTTACTATGTGCCTTCTCAGCCAGTGGTTTTTTTTTCTTGTTTTTTTCATTTTCTTTTCATAATGTATCATGTATATTTTTTCTTTAAATCAATCAATCAATCAATAAATCGATTTGTTGAACTCTGATAAAAAGTTTTAAAAGAAAGAAGAAACTTTACAGATCAACAATTCATACAGTTTATATTTATTTATCCCCCCCGCCCACTCGCCGCCCTCCCCCCCCGAAAAAAAACGAAACTGTAATCTATAAAAGAAGAAACAAAAAAGAAAGAGAAAAAGGAGAAAGAGAAAACACTTTTCTGATTATCATAAACACATTTATACAAGTTGATTGTTTATCTATTTACATATGCATGTATTGTATTCTATTCTAATATAAAATAAAAGAAATTCTCAATAATGATTAACATGTTGAACAGAGAAAACAGTTTGTTTTCTTCAGATAGTGGACTGTTTTTCTTTTTCTTCTTCTTCTTCTTCTGATGATGATGATGATGACGAAGATGAAGATGATATAGTCCTATAATGACTATTAACTATTATTAATCCTTTAATGTTATTATTATTATTATTATTATTATTATTATTATTACTATATTATCATGTATCTTGTAAAAGACAACTTTGCTTACATTATCATTGTTCTTTCTAAAGTTATAAGTTACTTAATTATTTACACTTTGACAAGTTAAAATCATGAGCCAATTGAAGCTAGACCACCATGGAAAACCTGGAAGCAGTGGACAGCCGTTTCGTCCTAGCGTGGGACTCCTCAGCAGTGCGCATCCACGATCCCGCACTCAGCAGGGTTCGAACCCAGGATCTGCTGGCTTCGCGCGCGAGCACTTAACCACCAGACCACTGGGCCGGCATCCAGCGGTGGTTTAGCTTCAATTGACTTATCATTTCTAAAAATCTCCACAAAACCCATTCTGATTATTTACACTTGTTACACCTCGTGGAAGAGTATAGGTCAACCATCAGCATTATTTTTCCGATTCTGTCCTCAGCAATCCTTTCCAGTTGTTATTAATCCTTTACATGTCTGTTCCCAATTCTAGACATAGTGTGTTCTTCAGTCTTTCTCTTTTTCGTTTCTCTCCAAGATTTCTAGTCAGCGTTTGCTTTGTGATGCAGTCTGATGATTTCCCCAATATGTATCCCAACCAACTCTAGCGTCCTTTATTGATTTCCTTTTCAACTGGTAGCCGGTTTGTTCTCTCCAACAGTAGACTGTTGCTGATAGTATCCAGTTAACGGACATTCAGTATCTGTCCTCGATAATCCTTTTCAGTTCTTTCCAGTTCTCATCCATCCTTTTATGTCTGTTTCCAATTCCAGGTGCATTGTGTTCATTGGTCTTCCACTTTACCTTTTCCCTTCAAGATCTCAAGCAAGCGTTTTCTTTGTGGTGCAATTGTTTTTCAGTTGAAAGTTGATTTGTTCTCTTCCACAGTAGGTTGTTGCAGATGGTTTCAAAGTTGTGAATATTTAGGTAATATGCATCAAGAAATAAATATCAACTACAGAAGGTGTACTAGACTGACTAATTTATAATTTGATACTGACTGCGCCTAATGTTGTTTAACTGTGGTGATCGGACAAGAAAGTCCTACTCACTGCCTTCTCGTAAAGGAGGTGCTATTTACGAAATCGAGAGGACCAAATGAGAATGTCCAGAGCTTTAATCAAGTTGGATCATGCCTTTAGGTGGAAGGCCCCGAGTGTTGCCCCCTAACAAAGCCACCTGGTTCGGTTTGGGCACTCGGGCAGTATCACGGCCCAGACACAGATCAAGTGATTTGTTTGACGAATATATGTATTGGGTTCCCCTTTATACCGATATAAAAATCAGGATACACGAGACAGCTATTTCATCATAATATCAAATTTCTCAGAATCCCCAATGAGATTGAAATTAAAACTAACGCTAACAATATCAGAACTATAAGGAACAACTTTTGTAAACATACATTTGATTGGGAAATTTCATTTCATATTACCGGTTAATATTTGAATAGAGAATATACATAAACTAAGAAGGATTTATATGCAAAGATGGATAGTGATTAGCAGTGGAATCCAGTTTGATGCACATTTCGTCCTATTCGCGACTCATTAGCTGAGTGGACTTGCATCTAAGAGTTGATATTCACTCTGCGACTTGAACCCAGCACCGTTCACTATCAGGACTCAATAGCTAAGTGGATAACGTGATGGCGCTTGAAGCGAATGGTGCTGGGTTCGAGTCCCAGAGTGAACATTAACTGTGAGATGCAGGTACATCCATCTGATGAGTCCCAAATAGGACGAAACACGCGTCCTGGATTCCACTGCTAGTCACAATTCATCTTTGTCTGTAAAAGCTTTTGAATTAAGGCAATATCGAAGCAATATGCACAGTATGCACGAATGCCAATAAGAGACTGATCAATTGCAGTCTTAAAACCTCAATGGGAAAATACAAGCCAGACAATATCAAGTGAATAATAAAGCTTTACTGACTCTAAATGATAATGATTACTGAATCCTTAGTAACTTTTTATTTCTGTTTCCAATAACCCAAAATGTAATAGAACACAAAATAGTACGTAGTGGTTTTCAAAAGTGTTATTTACAATTGAATGATCATTGGGTGGTGATCAATGTCATGTATGTCAGGTCCTTCTTAGTACAAACCGAATCTTATCGACAGATTTGCAATGTTTTCACAAG